CTCTTTTTTATTCTAAGATAAGATAAGAAATTAAAATTAAATATCAAAAAGATCATAAAATCAAAGTTTGGATGATGCATGTTTAATTTTTTAGCTTGACTTTTAAGTGTTCTTAGTGGAGTCGCCAAGCTGTTATAACAATTTTCATCCGAGAGGACTCGATCGTTATACTTGGTGAAAATTTTCAAAGTCATCACCAATCATTTTGTAGGGTGTAATTGGCCACTTAAAATATCATCTTTTAGTAAAAATTTTTAAAATTAATTAAGATTTACTAAAAGAAATTTAGATCTGTGAAATCAGAATTAAGTCCGAGAGTACGGTTACAAGTGAGAAAAGTATTAGCACACTCACGTCACCCCGTACCAATTTAACATGTATAATTCTATAATTTTGATTATGTGATCTTTTTTTATTTAAATTTAATTTTCTAAAATTTATTTTTAAAAATATTTCTTTGTTTTGAAATTAACATTATTATTATTATTATTATTTCATATTTTATAAATTCTCCAATGCTTTGACGAAATTTATAGAAAATCACTATTTAAAAAATATTTCAAGAAAGTTGACTATTCACAAAATTTTTGAAATTTCGTCATAAGATATTTTATTTATTTATTTTAAAAAGGATTTTAGGAACATTCACACTTTTGGTGAGTTCTCAAAATTTATTAAATAAATTTTAAGATTCTCAACTTTTCGATGAAATCCTAAAAATTTTAAACAAATTTTAGGATCATCTCAACTTCTAACAAGATCCTAATTAAAAATTATTTTTTTATAGTTAAAGTAATTAATTAATTAATTTTTATTATGGTTATTTTAAAATTTTGTATTATTTATTATTTATTATTTTTATTAAAAAATTTAGATTATCCTGACTCACCGGTGAAATTTAAATATTAATCTCTTGCCTGGATTAAAGAAAATCAAACTATTTCAAATTTTTATATTTTTTAAAAATGTATTCAAAATATTAATTATTATTATTATTTCATTTTTCATTTTTTATTATTGTTTTACATTATTTAAATCAACTTTTATTCTAGTAAAAATAATTTTGGGTTATCTCAACTCTATGGTGAAATCTGAAAAAATTATTTTTACTTACAATAATTAAAGAAAACTAAACTCTTTCAGCTTTCTTTAAAAATTACATTTAAAAAGATTCATTTAAACAATATATCATTATAATTATATTTATCATTTTTCTTATTTTATTATTTTTTAGTAAAAATTATTTTTTAAATTATTCCAACACTTTGATGAAATTTAAATAACATTTTTGCTTATAATAAAATTTTATTTTTCTTAAATAGTTATTATTATTAATTTTTTTGCATATTATATTTTTAGGTCTTTATTTTTATTTTATTTATTTCTTTCTAAAAGAATTATTACTAGTAATAATATAAAATAATTATAATAATAATAACAATAATATCATAGAAAAAATAAACATAAAAATCAACACAAAATAAATAAAATAAAATAAAAACCTGTGAAGTGGGTTGGGCTGGGGTGTGGGTCAACACGTGGATCCTGTACGGGTCGGATATGGGTCAAACATTTAAAACAACGTCATTTTGGAATGCCCATAAAAAGCCTATTTTAGGTTTTTTTTAAATTTTTTCTTTTTTCTCTCTCTATCCCAGAGTCTCTCTTTAAAAAATGTAACCTTTTTTGCTAGCCACTGTGGAGCCCAGTTTTTGGTTAGTTATCGCTATGCACCGATAGCCGAAAACTTCAACTGACACAGAAAAATTCAAACCATACCCAAATTCCGACCATTTTTTTAGATTTCAATCATCGAAAATTTCAAAAGTCACAAAAAAATTTAAACTTTTCCAGAATTTGGTGACCCAAAAAATTTTCAAAAAATTTCCAAAAATTCACAAACTAATCTTTTTTATTTCTAAACACTCTTTCAAGCTCAGATTTTTTATAACAAAAATCTTAAACTTTCTAGATCGATAATTTCATTCTTGTTGATTTTTTTTTGAAATTTTTTTTGTGTTTGTTGCTGATTCCTTTTTCAAAGAGGACTATGATTTTTTTTTTTACAGTATTCCCATCCCTTGTTTTTTCCTTTGTTCCTTTTCTTTTGTATAAATTAGCTCTATTTATAGAGCTTTTGGGATTCAAGTCCTAGATCTTTTGAAATCTTTTTGTGAAAATTTTGGAGGTCTATATAGTGACTTTTGATCAACGGATTTCATGCTGCCAAGTTAGGCAGTGTCAAAGAGAAAATATCACTTTGACAGCTTGATTTCAGCTGTTAGTGTTGAAATCAACAGATTTTTTTTACTTTTTTATAATAATAATAATAATAATATTATTATTATTATTATTATAAACAAAATTACATCAATCAAAATTAGTGTCTACAATTACTATTTTAAAAATAAAATCTAACAATTGCACAAATAAAAAATATGAGTAAAAACCTCAATAAACTTATAAAAGAATAGCAAGTAAGATTATAAAGTAAATTTCTTATAAGATAATAGAGATAAAATTGTTATAAAACAAATTTGAAAAATAGTTAAATTCAGCTTGTTTAATATTCTTTTTGAAAACACATTTGTATTTATATTACTATCAAGAGATATTAGCTTAAATATATTAAAAAGTTATTATTATTAACTGTATAACGCAATAAGTAATAAAAAAATAAAATTAATGTGATTTTTCTTTCAAAATTATAAATTCTCGATTCTTGCCTAATATGCTAACACTTTTAAAAAAGAAAACGAATCTTTATTAATTTAATGATCTCATTATTGTTAACCTATTTAATGACTCATTTAATATATTTTTACTTTTTTTTATTTGTATTATTGATAAAATTAATTGTAAATTATTCATATAAAATAAAAATATTTTATATTTGAAAGATAATAAATATAATTAATTTAGTCTAATTTATTATTTTTAAGTAATAAAAATATTATTATAAAAATAAAAATAATTTAAATAAATAAAATATATTTATCAAAGAACACATAATAATCTTTTAAATCTATGACATTGATTTTTTTACCAAAAATTTTGAATTTTAGATAGACCGGACCGCGCATGCCTAGTAGCAATGGGACATCATTCAGGCTATGCTAAAAGGGCCTAAGGAGATCAGAACAACGATTTCTCAAACAGAATATTTTTCGAATTAGTAGTAATTAGTAATTTCCTTGTGTCTGCGGGTTCTCATGGTACAACTGGCTGCTTACGGTTCGAACTTCGAATAGATTTTATACTTAGAAGATCAAAAGGACGCCTTGACTCTAGACTTTACGTGTAGAATGAGTTTTACTTAAAAATATAAATGATACATTAATATTTATAAATTATTCGGATTTGATTCGAAAAAAATTTAAAATCGATTCGATAATAATCGAATCGAACTCAAATTCGAGTAGTTCGACTTATTAATCGAGTTAAATTCGAGTATTTTTATATCTGATTTGAGTAATTCGTGAGTCTAATCGAATTTTTATATTTAAATATATTTTTATTATTTTAATTAATAAAATATTTCGATTTCGAGTTCGAGTTCAAATTCGAATTCGAACATAAATAATCGAACTCTTATCGAATATACGAATCGAACTTATTTTTACATATTAATCGAGCTTAATCGAGCGAGCTCGAGTAGCTTGAATTCGATCACGAATCGAGTTCGAGAATCGAGCTCGAACTTGAAAAATAAAACTCGATCGAGCTCGAATCGAATATCGAACCTCGAGTTATGAGTCGAGCTCGAACTTGAGCTTCTCACTATTCGACTCGACTCGACTCGTTTACACTCCTAATTCGAATTCGAGCATAAATAATCGAACTCTTGTCGAGTATACGAATCGAACTTATTTTTACATATTAATCGAACTTAATCGAGCGAACTCGAGTAGATTGAATTCGATCACGAATCGAGTTCGAGAATCGAGCTTAAATTTGAAAAATAAAACTCGATCGAACTCAAATCGAATATCGAACCTCGAGTTGTGAGTCGAGCTTGAACTCGAGCTTCTCACTATTCGATTCGACTCGACTCGTTTACACCCTAATTTTACCCCTTGTAATAGCCTTTCAACTATGAATCTCAGTGATTTAAGTTTTTTTTTTTTTCGCTAATCGGTGAAGAAATTCAAAGCGTCTGTCTAAGTCTAACCATCAACTTAATCAAGAAGGCTTCCACTTTGACGTTCCTATTAGTACAATTCTCTTATTTTTGAGAAGAAACAATTATTGGGATATAAAGCTTCACCATATATATCAGTATATGTACGAAAAATATTTTTTCCCCATTTATCAAAATAATGAAAATTTTAGATGTGAATAATATATTTTTATCTAAATCTATTATTAATATTTAATATTTTAAAATTGAATATAAAAATAAATATAAACTAACTTAAAAATAAATTAATTTAAACGAATGTAACCATATATAATTTATTCAGATAAAATAAATGTATTTTTTAAATAAAGGAAAAAAAAAATCCCTTCCCTATATACACCCTTAAAAATCAAAGTAACATTTTAATCATCGACCGACTTACGACATAAAAAAAAATTGGTATGCTCAAAATATTAAAAAAGTTCGTAAAATTTATCATTTTATTTAAATAAATTTTTATAGTTTTATTATGTATAAATAAATTTTTATTTTTAGATTTATATTTACGTATGTCTTTATTTCAAATATAATATTTATTTATGCTAAAAATTTATTTAAGTAATAATTAAAAAATAATAATTTATTCAAATATAAATTAAAATTTAAAAATTTATTTGAATGTCAAATAAAAATAAAAAATTTATTTAAATACAATAAAAATATAAAATTTTATCTAAATAAAATAATAAAATTTAAATCTTTTATTATTTTTATCGTATCTAATTTGCCCATTCCCTAGCATATACGATATGCTTTATTCTTTTCCGACGAAAATGGTTTTTCTTTTGATAATAAAGTAATTATCCGATACATAAGACCGTGTTTTACGGTGGGCATAAGATGCCTAACTTCAGCTTTTATTTCCGACAAATATGTCTTTTTCATCATGGGCAGTGGGCCATAATCCCACAATGCAAAACCCAAAGCTTATCGCCTACGACAGCAACTATTAAAATGTCCATCAACTCAAAAAGCAAATCATAAAAAAGACCAAACCAAGACCACGAATGGCCATTACATCAATTGATTAAATAAAAATACTTATACTATAATACGATAAATCAATTGACATAAACAGCCTTGTAACCTGGAGAACGGTCTGGAAAATTAGAAATCATCGCCACCATCATCGTATCCAAGATCCTCCTCAACCTTCTCCGCCACTTCATCTTCGAAATGATCCTCCAGCGCATCCACACCCTCCGCTAATGCGAGTCCACCCAAAGCCCCTGCAACCGCACCCACAGCCAATCCTGTCCCCATCCCTCCAAACTTACTCTTCTTCTTCTCCTCTTGCCCGTAGTACCCACCACTTCCCTCACCGTAGGCCGGCTGAGTATTATAATTGTACGTACTGTAGGGGTAGGCAGTTGGTGGGGCCGCGTAGTAAGGATTTTGTGGCGGTGGCGGCTGAGCGTATGGATAACCATAAGATGGCGGAGCTGCTTGGTAGTCTCTTGAAGCCGGTGGTGGGACCGCGTAGGGAGGTGCCCGGTATGGATCATAAGCATGATAGCGTGGCTCTCTGATGAAAACTTTAACATCAACTTTTCCTTGGGGTCTCCCAGAGGGTCGCTTCAGGCGGAGCGTTTTCATGTGGCTTTCTCCGAAGCCGGCTTCTTCGAGGACTTCTCGGAGCTTCATCTTAACGGAGCCGATGAGAGGCTTGGTATCCTCCTCAGATCCAGCGTGGACGACGTCGATGAAGAGAGTGGTATCGTCGTTGATGGGACCAGGGAGAGGGATGACCAGAGTTTCGTCCCAGATGGGACACGTGTCACCCTCCTTATCGACTTTCGTGGAACTCTTATTTTTTGGGTCCACCCAGAGGACGACGTAGGGCCTGATCGGGCCGTAGCGCCAATTAACATTTTTGAGGTCTTTGGCGGAGGAGATGGTCACCTCTATTTCATGGGGAGAGGCCATTAATCTGCTTCTTTCAAGGTTTAAACTGGAATTTGGGAGAAGAAAAGACAGGCTTTGTTGTTCATTACGAAGGGATGAGGAGATGGGTGAGGCCATTTATAGGTTCAACGAAGAGGTTTTATTACTTTAAAACGTAATTACTCCATTGACCTTGAAGAGTGGATAAAATAAGTTGAAAGGGAAGTCGGTGGGAGGGTATTGGGGTAAAAAGAGTAGGGAAGAATAAGCTTTTTTAGTATGTAGTTTGTACTCATCTGGGGAGGGTATATTTGGGAGAAGGAGATAGGCAGCAGGAACTAAAAAAAGGGCGAGACCGAGCAGGGAATAATCACAGGAGGGGCAAAGGATCCCTTAAGCCTTAAGGGTTGAGGGATTTGCTTAAAAGTGAGACAGGCAAATTCTGAGCGGAAAATGACCAAATAGTGAGAACGTTTTTACGATTTCCGTTTGTCCCGTTAAAGGATAATGAACAGTGTTTAAGTGTTTGCGTCGGGCTTTCTTGCTTGGAGTTGGGGGGGGGGGGAATATTCTGGTCAATGCTACACGCTACACGGTGTAAACACGGATTGAGTTGGCTCAATCAAGCAATAGTCAGGGCAGTCCATTATCTTTCTCTTCTCCAATTTTTTGGACCATCAAAATTGCTTATGATTTCCATAATAGAAAGAATGGACCCCAGGCAGAAAATGCATCAGTGGGAGGTATCAAATGAAAGTGGAAAATAAGAAAGAACAACAACAGACAACTTAATTGCTTGCATTTGTATATAATATAGATATAAGGCATGGTATATTCTAAACACCTTAACTACAATTGAAATTGAACTTTATTTGTTTGGAATTTTGGTTGCTGGCATTCCAGGATGCTATACTCACATTTCGTGCACTTTGCGTCAATGAGTTTTGAAAGGACAGAGATTTATGCTATTTGAGTTTGACATTTGCTAATGGCTACTACCTTTGTTTTATTTGCTGTAATTGAAAATTACTTTCTCATGTATTCTTTTTTTGATAGAAGAAGGCCTTTATTTAATAATAAATAAATAAATAAAATGGAATTATAAATGGTACAATATGAAACCTTAAATTCCCAGATTTTTTTTTTTTAAACTGTGAAAACTTTAACCGTAATCAGTAATGTCAAGGTGTACTTCAAACTGTGTCCCCCATTCGAGCTTTCCAATGCTTAGGCTGGCGCTTCCAGGCCCAAAAGTCTGACTTCTAGATTGGCTCCGGCTTCTATAATTCCTTCATGGAGAATTCTATTTACAGCTTAATTTTTATTTTATATATCTCATTATTAAATATATCTTAAATTTAAATTTAAATTTTTTATTTTTACTAAACGCATCGCATCCATCAATAATTAATTTTTTCTTCATACCTCCAATATTTTTTTCCTTATCTCTTCAATCTCAAATCCAAATTAATTCAAAAACTACATTATTTTTAATTTTTCATTGATTAAAAGTAAGATTTCAAAATTTATTTCATTTAATTTGATTTAAATGCATGCGAAAAGTAAATTAAGATTCATGAAATGGATTCTTCATAATTCGAGTTTCTCATAAATAGATTTTCAAAAAACCTTTAAAACTCTAAAAAATGTATTTCAAGAAGTCTAAAGGTCTTCCAAAATCCATTTTCGAAAAGCTATTAAAGTTTTTGAAAATCTATTTCCAAGAAACCTGATTTTCAAAAATATAACATAAAAAATTATGTTGTATTCTCGAAAATGAATTTCTGAAAATATAAAAAAAAAATTAGATTCAAATGTGTATAAGAAAAAGAATGATGAAGGAGAAAGAAAAAGAAAGAAAAGGGAAAGAAAAAGAAGATGGTAAAATTGTAATTTATTAAAAGATAAATTTTATATTTGTTATGTAAATATTTTTGAAAAAAAAATTGATGGTGTTAAAGGCATTTGATGGTTAAAAGGGCATAATGATCTTTTTCTCTTTAAAGCCTTTAACAGGCAACAAGGATATTTTTATTATTTATACCACACTGATATGTCAGGTCAATCTAACAAGCTTAGTGTCATATCAGCTCAATACTGTTTTTATTGTCTCTTAGTGTCTCCTTCAGCTTACCTATAAATATGAAGGTCCAAGCATCATTAAAGCAGGTTGATCCTACTCCATTTTCTCTTAATCCTACTTCTTTTCCAACCTCAACCTTTTTGATTAACGCATTGGAGTGCAAATGCAAGGAATACACCCTGTCGCTAACCATATTTTTCTTTTCTTTTGCCTTTCTAGGAATGCCCCTAGGTCGAAACTTAGCACCAACATTTGGCGCGTTAGGTAATGGACTCTTTTATTAGCTGAGCATAAAACAATGCCATAAAGGACAAGAACCTTAGAGGAAAGAGAAACAACTATCCCAACTAGAATGGAAACTCACCATAGTCAGTATTCTATCCACCCAGCCCAACCACAGGTAGGCCCGACCATGGAATAATTTCAAGCCTTGATCAAACAGATACAAGCTCTTAAGTAGATGTTGCAAACCATAACCCTATCTCAAGTTTCAAAAGTGCCAAACTTAATCACACATGACCGAGGAACCGCTATCGAACAACCAAGCTACGAAGAGGTGAAAGCCTCTTCAACCTCCAGATAAGAGGAACACATAATCCCAGCCATAATTCAATACAAGTCATAAATCAAAAATCCAAACAAACAAACCCTGAATCCTAATCGAACAGAGATTTAGAAACTTAGATGCAAGCCATGAAAAAAAAGTTAAAAATAAAAATAGTGACGTTTAAGGATGAGATCAAGTTTTTAAAGACCTCATCCTTCATTAAAGAGATTGACAAAGTTGTGCCTCGTAAAGGATTTAAAATGTCGACCTTGAAAACATATGATGGTACTTTTAATTTTTTCAATCATTTAGAGCTTTGTAAGACTAATATGATGATGTAGGGGGCAGATGATACTCTAATATGCAAAGGCCTAGCCATTACCTTAAAAGGCATAGCTTGGTCCTGGTATAGCAACCTAGAACCAAGGTCTATCATGACGTTCAAAGAGCTCGATCATTCTTTTTTGTTTAGATTTGTTAGCAGTCGAAAAGCGAAAAAAATAACCTTAAGTTTGATATCAATTTATCAAGGTCGGAATGAATTTTGAATAGTTATGTCATACATTTTAATACGAAGGCTCTACAAGTTAAAAACCTGGAGCAAATCACCACTGTCGCCGCTTTGACGAGTGGACTCAGTGATAAAAAGTACCACTTGAAGTTAACTCTATCTCTAGAATAGCCTAAAACTCTAGCTAATGTACTACTGATAGACAATAAGTACATGAATGGTAAAGTTACAATGAAAACTAATCGAGGTGAAAGGGGCTAATCCCCTCTCTTCAACAGTTGAAGTGAAAGAGGCTAATCTCCATTCTTCAATCGTAAAAAAAGTAAAGATTTTTATGATCTTTTTTTAAGAGGGAGACAACATAAAGTTAAAAGTCCCAACAAAGAAAGAAGTTACACTACACTAAACACCTCTCGAAAGAGGATTCTAATACGAACTGAAAGAAACCCTAATCTCATATGGCATAAGCCATTAAGGCAGAACATAAAAAAGGATTTAACAAAAAGATATGCCTTTTATAAGGATATCGATCATAATACTGAAGATTGTGTCAACCTAAAAAATGAGATTGAAGCCTTAATAAAAAGAGGCTAGCTGAAAAAATTTATAGTGCAGCGCAGACAAGGCTAGCCTAGAACAAATTACAGATAACATCGAAAAGAACCTACCAGAGACAGAGAAAAAAGATCAAAACACAAAAGAAGGGAAGCTCAAAGAGATAAGTTGACCTGAGAAGAATGTTGAACTAATAACAATAAGCCAATCCTCGGGGTGATTAATGTAATCACTGGTGGTAGCATTACCTCAACCAAGAAAAAGTTTAACCCAGGCATGATTATGATAGTAAAAACCTCGATAAAGAAAAAATACTAAAGATATAAGTCAATCTCATTTAGCTCAAAAGATCTTGAAAGAATTTAACACTTACATGATAAAGCTATAGTGATTACAGCCTTAGTGTACAACTATATAGTTACAAAAAATTATATTTGATAATGAGAGTTCAACCAATGTCATGTACTATGGCTGTATAAAAAAATAAGGATTGGTAAAAATTAGCTTAAGTCGATCAATACCACACTTATAGGATTTGAAAATGAGTAAGTGCCAGTAAAAGAAACTATTAAGCTTTCAATTTTCTTAGGGACTGAATCGAAGATGATCACCTTAGTTATAAAATTCATGCTTGTGAATGTCCCATAAACTTATAATATGATACTGAATTGATCTAACTAGTTTGTTATACGACTTATAAGCTCAACTTCTCATTTGAAAGTGAAATTCTTAACACCTAATGGGATTTGAGAGGTTTGGAGAGACCAATCCATAACATAATAGTATTATATCACAATAATGAAAGGTAAAACTAGGAAACAGATTAACAGCATGACAAAAATCAAGGTTAAAAGTAAAGAAAAATAATCACCAAAATTGACAAGAAATAAAAAGTCACCAACGAAAGCATAGAACGTAAGATTGACCTAACAAAATCACATTTTTAAGCTGCTCTAAGCTCTTAAGCTCTAACAAAAAGAAACTTTTACTCTATTTTTTGAATTTTTTAAGCAACAACAAAAACAACTGAGCTCTTGAGTCAGTATGAATAATCATATGTCATTTGGATCAAGCTAATACATCAACCAAAACACAACATGAAATGAAAAATATACACCAATTTTACTAACATGCTCAACAAGTTTTTCATTAATATACTAATCATCACATTAGGGTCTGTCTTCGTAGGAAATGATCTCAACCTAATTGAACAAAAAAAGCTAATTGATCAAAGATTGAACACGAATGTAAATCGATCTGAACCGATTGAGCACCTCGTAATAGTTTTATTCTGGGAAACATCCCTAAAAAATATATACAAATCGGAGCTAAGCTTCAACATAAGGATAAACTAATTCAACTCTTAAAAGATAATGCCAACCTATTTGCTTGGACACCGTTTGATATGCCTAAAATTGATACTGAAGTGATGGTTCATAAGCTATACACTAATCTTG